TTCTTTTGCTCTTTCTTGTCAGCGGGTTTCAGCTCAAGGCCTTGTTCGGACCAAAAGCGAAAGCATTTATAGCTTCAGCAGTCCACCCACGCCCACAAAACTACAATGCAAACTAATGCAGCCAAGCGGTAGTTGTGCTGCTGGTTTAGGGTTTAGGGTTTAGGGTTTAGGGTTTAGGGGTTAGGGGTTTAGGGTTTAGGGTTTAGGGTCTAGGGTTTAGGGTTTAGGGTTTAGCGTTTAGGGCAGGCCAGGGAGCGCGCCGGAAGGGTCCCCGAAACACGTCGCCACTTTCAGCACCCGGCTGTCGCGCGCAGGTCCAGCTCGCCTACAAGCGTTCCTCGGCAAGCAGCCATTTACTCAATTCCTCAAAGATTCCAACGGTTCAGGGTCTAGGGTTTAGGGTTTAAGGTTCAGGCTTTAGGGTTTAGGGTGCAGGGTGACATGGACTGAGAAAATGAAGTGCTGCCTCCGCCATCAGTGAGATTTCCAAACAAGATGCCCTGCGCCGCCTGGGCTTTCACTTAACTACTACTTGCTTAAGAACCCCAAAAGAATAAAAACATGAATCCCTGTATTGCACTTATAAGGAAGTTATTTATTTTTTTTTTTGGGGGGGGGTGGGGGGAGGGGGGTTCTTGAGCAGTTCCTAGTTGAAGGAACGTCCTGCCCTGCCTGGCCGCCGCGGGCGCCGCCGGCGCGGTGCTCTGGGTCTTCCTCATGGCAATGAGGCTGTGGAGCTCTCAGTCATGCAGCAGCATGCATCTGCCTACTTCTATAGCCTCTCTAGGGAGTGTATAAAGAAATGAATAAACATATATATATATATACAAATATGTATATATATATATATGGTCACCCCCCCCCCCCATGATCCACACCTATGGTTTTCTTGTCTTCGTCTTTGTCTGATTTTCTGTTTTTTCCTCGGAAAATGCAGTAAAAACTGCACTGGGATACAAAAAGCTCTAGTATATTATCCTCTATAAACACACTAGTGTTTTTATGTGCATTTTGCTTCTGAAACTTGTGTCTTGCGGCCCCATAAAATTTTAGAAGGGTAGCAATTAGAAGTTTAAGGCTTTTCAGGGTTTTAGGGGTTTGTAAAATTTAGATGATCTGTGGAAGGCACCGGGGCTTCCCCAGACCATTTGCAATTTTGAAAATCCTTTAAAGGGGCAGCCCTTTTCAAATTTGAAGGGCTTTAAGGTACTTAAAGCATATCAAAATTTTCAAGATTTAAAGGGTCTTAAAAGGCTTTAAAGCCCTTAAAAACCTCGAAACGTTTATCCCTTAAAAGTCTAAAATTCCTAAAAATTCAAGACGGGCAGCCGTTTAAAATTAAGGAAGTTACGGATTTTAGAATTGAACATCCTAAAAACTTTAAACTTCAGAAGGACAGCCATTTACAACTGCAAGAATTTCAGGGTTTTACGGATTTGTAAAAATCTATATGGTCTGGGGAAGGCACCGGGGCTTCTCTAGACCATTGGCAACTTCAAAAATCTCGAAAATCCGCAAAGGGCAGCCACTTAAATACGTAAGCAATTTAAGGTCTTTAATAGGCTTAAAAGTCTTAAGACCTTCATAATCCTGAGAATGTTTAAACAGAAGCTTAAGGATTTTTGTAAGATTTTAAGGGTTTTAAAAGTTTAGATGGTCTGGAAAGCCCCAGTGCCTTCCCCAGATCATGTAAACTTGCAAAAAACCCTTAAACCCTTAACCCTAAAAACTTAACACTAAGCCCGTAGCACAAACCCCAAACACTTAACATGAAACCCTAAACACTAACCCTAAAAAACTTAACACTAAGCCCTTAGCACAAACCCTAAACACTTAACATGAAACCCTAAACACTTAGGCACTAGACCCTAAACACTAAACCCTAAACACTTAAACACTACACCCTAAAAACTAAACCCTAAAAACTAAACCCTAAACATTACACACTAAACCCTACACACTAAACCCTGAACACTAGTAAAAACCCTTAAAACCCTTAATCCAAAAAAACAAACCCGAAACCCTTAACACTAAACCCTAAACACTCAGCACTAGACCCTAAGCACTAACCCTAAAAAACTTAACACTAGGCCCACGAACCCCAAACACTTGACACGAAACCCTAAACACATAAGCACTACTAAACCCTGAAAACTCAGCACCAGACCCTAAACACGAACCCTAAAACTTAACACTAAGCCCTTAGCACAAACCCCAAACACTTAACAGGAAACTCTAAACACTTAAGCACTAGACCCTAAACACTAAACCCTAAACACTTAAACACTACACCCTAAATACTAAACCCTAAACATTACACGCTAAACCCTACACACTAAACCCTGAACACTAATAAAAACCCTTAAAACCCGTAACCCAAAAAAGAAACCGAAACCCTTAGCACTGAACCCTAAACACTCAGCACTAGCCCCTTAACACTAAGCCTAAAAGCTTAACACTAAGCCCTTAGCACGAACCCCAAACACTGAACACGAAACCCTAAACACTTAAGCACTAATTCCTTACTAAACACTAAACCCAAAACACTACACCCTAAAAACTAACCCTAAACATTACACACTAAACCCTACACACTAAACCCTGAAAACTAAACCCTAAACAGAAGCATTTTCAAGTTGTCAATGGTCTGGGGAAGCCCCGGTGCCTTCCCCAGATCATTTAAACTTGTAAAAATCCTTAAAACCCTTAACCCTAAAAAACCAAACCCGAAACCCTTAACACGAAACCCTAAACACTAACCCTAAAAACTTAACACTAAGCCCTTAGCACAAACCCCAAACACTTAGCACGAAACCCTAAACACTTAAGCACTTAACCCAAAAACTAAACCTTAAACATTTCAAACTAAACCCTAAACATTAGACACTAAACCCTGAACACTAAACCCTAAACCCTAAACAGTAAACCCCAAAGCCGGAACCTCGAGCCCTACTAAATCTAAACCTGAAACCAAAAACCCGTCGGGGTTTCAGATGCTTACTGTTTGGATCTCAGAGTTTAGGGTTTTTTGGCGGTTTTAGCCGAGCCGCTTGACCCGAAACCCTAAACCCTAAACTTAACACTCAACCCTAAATACAAAACACTCAACCCGGAAACCTACACACTAAACCCTAAACGCTAGATTTCCAGAAAAAATCTGGAGTACCGGACTCCAGACTCCAGATTTCCAGACAAAATCTGGAGTACCCGGGCCCCGGACTCCAGACTCCAGATTTCCAGAAAAAATCTGGAGTACCGGGGCCCCGGACTCCAGACTCCAGATTTCCAGAAAAAATCTGGAGTACCGGGGCCCCGGACTCCAGACTCCAGATTTCCAGAAAAAAACTGGAGTACCCGGGGCCCCGGACTCCAGATTTCTAGAAAAAATCTGGAGTACCGGGGCCCCGGACTCCAGACTCCAGATTTCCAGAAGAAATCTGGAGTACCCGGGGCCCCAGACTCCAGACTCCAGATTTCCAGAAAAAATCTGGAGTATCCGCGGCCCCAGACTCCAGATTACAGACTCCAGAATCTGGAGTCCAGGGTCCCGGTACTCCAGATTTTTTCTGGAAATCTGGAGTCTGGAGTCCGGGGCCCGGGTACTCCAGATTTTTTCTGGAAATCTGGAGTCTGGAGTCCGGGGCCCGGGTACTCCAGATTTTTTCTGGAAATTTGGCGTCTGGAGTCCGGGGCCCGGGTACTCCAGATTTTTTCTGGAAATTTGGCGTCTGGAGTCTCCCCCCTCCCAAAACCCCCTTCCCAAGGCCAAATGTGTGGATCATGGGGGGGGGGGGGGGCGAGCATATATATATATATATATATAGATATATATACAATATATATATATATATATACATATAACAACCCAAGGGAGTATTTGAAATATTGTTGTTATTGACGGTCTAAGGGGAGTGTAGACTTGCATTGCAGCAGAGTGCATGCGAGCTGACGCACGAGGTTCTCATCGGCCAATGTTGGGTGGCTGTGGCGGAGGCCAGCATGCGCCGGGAACTTGTATCGAACATTTGCTGCTGAATTTAGTATCGGGGCCGGAAGGATTACTAATAGTATTCCCTTATGCTCCCTTTGTAACTATACTAATACGATCACAACCCCCAAAACCCGATTCTAATTATTCTGGCCCCTATATTCGGTTTAGGTAGCTGCTTCCGTGAGAAAGTTTCCACCCAACACAGCTGATTAATATAGGGGTCGAAATACTTGCTAATAATATTCCCTCATGGTCCCTGCAGAATTTTGGTACAATAACCCCCCAAAACCCTGTTCTAATTATTAAGGCTCCTACAGTCTAGGGTTTAGAGTTTAGGGTTTAGGGTTTAGGGATGCCTTTGCCTAGCGCGGTTGCCTGTCCGCAGACTGCCGCGGGGCGAGGCGCTACTGGACGAGGCAGAGCACGTTTGCAATCGAATCCTTCCGTACACGATGCGCAGCTTGGGATGGGATGGGATGTTCCCCCTTATGCTAACAGTCCTTAGTAGGGTGTAGGGTTTAGGGTTTAGGGATATTATAGTAGGGGGTGCTAGAATCCCTATTAAGGACTGCTAGTATAAGGGGGAACATCCCAATGCACAGCCGTGTAGGCACAGAGCTATACAGAATGAGTTGCGCGTCGCCAGAGAGAAGTAGCTGCTATTGTATGGTAACGTTGGCATTGCGCACAAAGCGCTCCATGCGACTGCATGCAACATGTGGTGGTCCTCGCGGCATCACAGGCACTTTCGAAACCCTGAACCCTGAACCCCGTGTGCTGCGTGGGGTGCAGTCCTGGCAGGCATCACAACCATGAACTGGGCTCGCCCCGAGAGTGCAAAAAGTGACACCGTGAGAGGGTGGCTCATGGCTTGCAGGTCTCTGCTGCATGTGGGGGCTTATAGTATAAGGTACATAGCCGGGGCTTTTGGGCGCCATCGTCGTTCCCTGCCCACATGTTGCCGATGAGCCTTTGCACAGCAATCTGCAGATCTTTTCCATGCTGGCAGACGGTCTCGGTCTACCACAACCCGCGGGGCCATGACATCCGAGCAGGGGCCCGGTACCCAGTTTTGCTGGGGTTTAGGGTTTAGGGTTTAGGGTTTAGGATGGGAGTACAACTCTTTCCCTGAGGGTCCATGTACCTATAGGCCTTTAGAGGGGCTCCTATGTAGTAGCTTTAAGGGCCCAAGTATATGCCATATGGGTGCATGGGCCCTTAGGCGCTCTCTGGCCAGAATCTCGCGGAAACACCGCGTATCATGCTGTCAGTAGCAAATATACGAGTTTAGGGTTTAGGGTTTAGGGTTTAGGGTTTCGCAAGCAACGGTCGCGACTTGAAATCTGCCTGGCAACAAAAGGCAGCGGTTCCCGGCTATGGCGGCTTCATCCCTTCAAAGGCCATCCAGACGCTAAAAGGGTTTAGGGTTTAGGGTTTAGGGTTTAGGGTTTAGGGTTTAGGGTAAAACCCTGAACAGCCCTGAGCCCAAAAGCCTCAGCAACCCAACGCCCTAAGCCCCATAAACCCTTTAAACCCTATGAAACCCTATTAAACCCCATAAGCCCCGCAAACTCCACAAAAACTCCATAAGCCCTGAGCCCTTCAAACCCTTAGAGGCCTCAGGGTCCAAGCTGGCAGCATCAAGTCCTATACGCCCTAAAAGCCCTATAAACCCTACAAACCCTAAAAACCCTATAAACCCTTTAAACCCTATAAACCCTACAAACCCTAAAAAACCCATAAACCCTTTAAACCCTATAAACCCTACAAACCCTAAAAACCCTGTAAACCCTTTAAACCCTATAAACCCTTTAAACACTTTAAACCCGTTTAAACCCTATAAACCCTATAGACCCTTTAAACCCTAAGGGTCTAAGCAAACAGCATCAAGTCGGGCGTCGTGCTCGGAAGCCAAGCCCCCCCCCCAACACACACGCCTCAGGGACACAAGGAACAATGAGAGGCCTAAACGAGTTTCTATGTTCCATGTAGGGTTTAGGGTTTAGGGTGTAGGATGTAGGGTGTAGGTTTAGAGTGTAGGGTTTAGGGTTTAGGGCTTAGGGTGTTAGATGCCTGATATAGGATCCGAAATTTCAGGGCTCCTGGGTCCCCGAGGCCCCCTGCTAGCAGCACGGCTGTGCGCGCACGCACACAAGAGAGAGCGAGCGACGAATTGAGACTGAGTTGTAGAGTAGGTAACCTTTAACCTTGTTGGGGTAATAGAGCCTTTTTGGGGTAATAGAATCCCCTGATGTAGAGTAGGTAACCTTTAACCTGTTTGGGGTGATAGAGCCTTCTTGGGGTAAAACAGAATCCCCTGAATCCCAAGGTCACCCTTTAGTTCCCCTAGGTACTGGACAGCTAGGGAGAGAGGGATCAACCTGTGTTCGTATCTAACTGATGGGCATGCGACTTAAATCTGCATCAGCTGCAGGAGCTGGTTGGCCAAACACAACCCTAAACCCTAAACCCTAAACCCTAAACCCTAAACCCTAAACCCTTTCGCCAGGTGGCAGGAAACTGCTTCGGGAAGCGCATGGCGTTGGACAACCTCCACGCCACCGAGATGCGCCGCTTAAACGATGAGGCCAACTAGCCACCATCACTCTCGCAGTCCCGAAGGGTCCATGTACCTGTATACGGTTTAGGGTTTAGGGTTTCCCTTGAAGGCCCAAGTATATACGATATAGGTACATGGACACTTTAGGAGTAGTCATGTTGAGGAAGGATTCAGTCAGTGTAGTGTCAGTGTAAAGGTTATGTAGAGAATATCACTGGCTGCATCAAGTCTACTGCCGCGGTACCTAAACCCTAAACCCCACTTCAAGGTTCATGGGCAGTTATAAGGTTCATGGGTATTAGTTGTAAGTGGCCTGGTAAGTAGGGTGACAATAGTCATAAGTGGTTATAGCCTCAATCAGGGTAGTTATATCCCTACTTGTAACCCCAAAATCCAAACCTGTTAAGGGAAGTCCCCTAAACCCTAAACCCTAAACCCTAAACCCTAAACCCTAAACCCTAAACCCTAAACCCTAAACCCCACTTACGCTCCCAAACCCCAAACTCCCCATGAGGGTAGGCGCCCAGGGGGGTCTGCAGAAGTCGGCCCCAAAGGTGCTGCATATACTGGTGCGTCCTGAGGTAAGCTAGAGGAAATCAGGTTCGGGATTCCCCAAACCTGAAAATGTTCAAGGGTTTAGGGTTTAGGGTCGGGTTTAGGGTTTAGGGTTTGGGGTTTAGGTTTTAGGGCCTATTGCCGCAGGGTGCGGAATGGCAGACGAATTGGATCACTGCCTGCGAGACGAATCGCAAGAGGCGGGAAGCTGAATACAGGAGCCTACATGACCAACACCGTCCTCCGACAATCCCTATACAACTATGACAGAAATTGACTTCGGTCCGCCTTACCCAAGAACACCCATTCTGGTTGCAAGGCCTCGAAACTACGCGGCTTTCAATCATAGTGGCTCCTGCGGACATTCTCGCATTGCTTCCAGCATGGGCTATCATATCAGGCCTTGTATTCCCCTAACCAATCCTATAAAGAGCCTTTTTTGAGGGGTTATAGGGTATAATAGCCCAAGCAGGTTGGGCCCTTTAAACCCTGCACGCAGGCGTGTCCGACTTTGACAGTACCCCTAGTCGACATCACGAGACCCATGCCTCAACCGGAATGGTTTAGGGTTTATACGGGGCATATGGGGTTTTTAGAGTTATAGGGTTTACGGGGTTTATACTAGATATGGTATTTATATATGGGTTCATACGGGTTTACAGGGTTTGCAGGGGGTTTAGCAGCCTTTTTTGACAGAAAAGGTTGGCCCACGGCGCTTTCTCGGCCCCAGTCTCGGGCAGCAGGGCTGGGGGATCGGGTTGCAGGCAGGGCTGGCTTCAAGAGACCCGAACCCTACTGGCTCTTAGAAATTCGGGGGTTTTGGGGTTTAGGGTCTAGGGTTTAGGGTTTATAGGGTTTAGGGTCTAGGGTTTAGGGTTTAGGGTTTAGGGTGTAGGGTTTGGAATGAGGGAATGAGGCACCTTATATCCCCCTCTACAGAACCCTTCGAGAATTCCGGGCTCTTGTTTTGTGAGGGCGGGATCGGCTGCATGGGATGTTGAAGGCTCTCAAAGACCATGAGGATGGGTGAATGTGTAGGGGTTTAGGGGTTCTAGGGCTTAGGGTTTAGGGTTTTTAGGGTGTTTGGGGTTTTTATAGGGCTTAGGATGACCCATTTTGGGGTTTAAGCTTTGTAGGGTCGAGGGTTTTTTGAAAAGGGCCACCCAAAAGTGTACAGGGTTTAAGTGATCACTTCAACGAGACAGCTCCCGAGGTGAACGAGAACTTCAAGTTTACCCGTGATGATCCAAAGCGCGAGGTCGTGCACTTACACCTACCCCGACCGAACACCCCGAACCCGAAACCCTAAACCCAGGGAGAGCGAGGGAGGGGGGGGGGGGGGTTATCGTAAGAACCCTCAACCGACTCCTCGGAACGTTCCCTAAGTGTCCTGTCAGGGGCTGAAGAGAACCTACAAGAAGTCAGGTTTTCGGGGTTTAGGGGTTGGAAGGTAGGGTTCTTAGGGGGTCTACAGGAAGAGGGCATCTGTACGAACTGAAACATGGGTCGCATCCCTACATCATGGGGCTCAGGATGTCTTAAAGGTTTTGGGCTTAGGGAGGTGCAGGAGATCCCCTGTTGGAACATGGCACCTTCTCAACCGAGTACCCCTAGTTCATTCTGTCCCTCGAACCCTAAACCCTAAACCCTAAACCCTTAATCTTCTGGTAGGCTACCTAGAAGAATCCCACACCGGGTTTTTTTGTAGTCCAACACCCTAAACTTCCAGGGTTTGAAGTGCCCCTAAAACCCCCAAACCCCTAAACCCCAAACCCCAAACCCTAAACCCTAAACCCTAAACCTTAACCTATAAACCCTATAAAACCTATAAACCCTATAAACCCTATAAACCCTAAACCCTAAACCCTACCCCTAAACTCTTCCAGGGCTCTACAAGGGTAGAGTGGTGTCGTGCAGGTGTCCGCGTCGCCAAGTGCCTGGAAAGTGTGGGAGCCGAAGGCTCCACACCAATGGCCTGGAACTTACCGGCTTGCCTCTCTTTTTTTGGAGGCTTGAGGGTTTAGGGTTTCAGGCTTAGGGTTTAGGGCTTACACAGGGCCAGGGTTTAGGGGGTTTGGGGGCGTAGGGATCGGGATTTTTGGGGGTTTCGGGACTCCGAGACCTCATGCCCAAACCCCGGGTTGTGGCCAGGACACCAAGGGAGGACACGAGTAGTTCATCCACCCCGAAAGCAGGCGGAAGTTCCCCCCCAAAAAACATGATTCAGGGTAACCCCAAAGTTTTGGAAACCCTCCAAATGTGGGCTGTTGCCTCCGGTGCCCGTCTATAAGTGTCGACCTTCATGTCAGTGATGCTCCGCATGCCTTTTTTCGTTCGTGAGTAGGCCGCAGCTGGGATCACGTCTGTTTGTGGCTATGCCAATCCCTCTCTTTCCTGCCAGGATCAGATACTGATCAGGCTGAGTGCTCAGCACACATCTCATGAGAGATTTCGTCATTTGGGGGTGGGGGGTGCCCTTTCGCATTCTGCGAGACGCTGATGCTTGAAGATTGGAGTTTTTTGGAGAGGGCACCTCCACCCAAGGCCCAATTACCTCATGAGTCGAACTGGCCCCTATGCTTAAAACTTAAACTTCTGAGCTTCAGAGCACAGCATGACGGTCCTCCAACTTTTCGCACATTGGGTACCCCGAAAAAAGGAAGGACCAGAACTTAGTGAGCCGACCGCACAGCGACATTCTAGAGGGCTGTATGGTTCTCGGAGGTACTGGGGCCTTGCTGATAGCGCGGCATGCCGCAGGCATGGCTGCCCTGTTGATTCAGTTATAGGAAGCATGCTTGGAGGTTCATGGTACTTACTAGCCTTTTGTAACTGTACTTATAACCCACTTATAAGCCCCTTGAGTGCCCTAATATGGTTATAAGTACAGTTATAAGTACAGTTATGACTGGTTCATAAGTACCATGAACCTCCAAGTGCTGACACACCCCAGGCCCACTTGAAAAGGCAGGCAAATTCAAGCCCGTCGTGTTGAAGTTCTTGGGAGCCATTGTCCCTGTCCCATCATGCCCCCCCCTGGCACCCCACCAGAGTTTGGGGTTTAGGGTTTAGGGTTTAGGGTTTAGGGTTTAGGGTTTAGGGTTTAGGGTTTAGGGTTTAGGGTTTAGGGCATTTCATCTCTCAGTTTGGCTCACTGCTGAACCAGCAGTTTGAGCACAGCAATGCCTCGCAGACAAGAGCGGCGTGCTTCGAAAAAGCGCGTAAGCGCAGGACGCGGGGGCGAAGCCGAGGGAAACCAAACCAGGCCAAACAAGATCTCCTCGTTCCCCCATGGCGATGCGATGGAGGCCGGCACTTAGGAAGATCAGTCCACTCAACCTGCGGACCAGAGCCGCTCCACTGCAAATGCGAGGAGACAATATATGATTTCTATTTATATGTATATATATATATACATATAGCGACCACGGGGCTAACATCAAGCCAAGCGACGCTGAGCTTGCGATCGGCGTGGGTGCGGGCATGCAAATGAATGAGGGCCTTGCAATTGGCGCCAGCTCATGTTGACACTGCGAAGTGGTGAGGGCAGACAAAGGGCGAGCATGCGAGAAGACGTCGTCTTCACAACAGGCCCGCGCACGCCCGCAACACGGAGAAGCTCGGCAGTAGAGCCGCTGGGACCCTGCGCGGTTGCCTTGCGAGGCGAGCTGACCTGCCGCATCCTATCGGCCAGGCAAAACCACTGTTGGATACCTTCCTTGGGCGACAAAAAGCGCAACTCCGCCACACAAAGGCACGTAGGGACGAATGCGTGCGCATTGCTGTGGATTTGTCTGCAGTCAGTTAAGTCAAGTAGCCTGGGACACAGTCAGTCATGACAGTATTTTGGCATGCTCATTTTTTTGTGCACTGCGAGACATGCCCGTGCGCGCGCGCGGCAGCACATCAGTTTTCTGGACACGTGTGCGCGCGCGAAGCGCCACAGTTTCCCTGACGACGCATTTGCACAAATTTGGGATGCCGCGATACGGCAAAATGTCTTTTGGAACGAACATCTCGCATACTATATAGAAGAATGTGCACGCGCGCAACGGGAGTTGGTGGGCACGCCGCGGCAACAGCTTTTTGGAGTTTGCATGGCTTTTCTGCAGTGAGAGAACTGAAGGAGCGCGTGAATTTCCCTGACGGCGCACTTGAGACTCTTGAAGAACCTGGGGCACCGCGAGAAGGCAATCGAGCGACGGTTTTTATCTTTCTTGAGAGATACTTCCGTAGGAAATTACTCTCGGTGCGAAAGTGAACGGGACTCTGGCCGCGGAAGCACGCGGAAAGCATCTCCGCGGAAGCTCCCGCGGAACCGACGACACAAATCCTCGAAGATTGACGGCGAAGCGCCGCGGAAGCTCTGCGAAGACCTACATGCCGGTCTCAAGGTCCAGGCCCTTCTCATTGAGTCCATGCTTTTAACACGTCGACAGCTCTGCAGCTGCTGCAAGCTCTAGTTTCTTTCATGCTTTTCCTCCACCGCACACAACCACCCAAGTCCCACGCCTTAGACATCAAGCTTAAAACCAAGTTTCAGCAGTGTTTCGTTGAGCTCGCTCGCGTTGGACCACCCGGCACGTGTACGAGTTCATCTTAATTACAGACCACCTCGCCGAAGCAAGTTTTCAGCGAAATCAGTTCGCGTAAGCGTCCGCGGAAGCAAAAGCAGCGGACGAGTGGAAACAGTACTCGCGGAAGGGTTCGTGATTTCATAGACATTCGTGTAGGATAAAACCACAGCTCAATTCTTCTTTGGCATGGGCATGTTGCGCACTGTCAAAGATGAACGTTGAGGCGTGCAGAATCAGAGCAGTTCGTGGAAATGCAAGGAAGACAAAGGAGGTTTTATGGCGCACATGTTGCGCACGCAGAGGGCGAGTCCGAGTCGCTGAGTCTATTCCAGCCTGTGGGCCCAAACGGCTTTGGAACAGTTTTCGGCATGCACATGTCTTGGTTTCCCTGATTTTCTCTATTTTGCTTTTCCTTCAATTCTGAGGTCAGTATAATGCACAGGTTCGATCTCAGGAGGCGTTTCGCCCGCGCTGCCGAGGTCGCCTCACACCCTATAGGCCACGTTGGCTGGGCCATCCGCCAGCTCCGGGAGCCCGACGGCGGTTACTTGCTGGCTCCCGTGCAAGAGGCTCTCCACGAGTGCTACGCCGGCATCCGATTGGCGTCGGCGCTAGATGGCGCTAGACCGCCACTCGTATCGTTTTCGCCCGGCACAAGAATGTTAGTCACGAACCTGCGGGCCCGCGGGCGCTGAGCCAGAGGCTCGAGGGTCGGTGGGCGCGAGACTGCGGGCAGCGAGGCGCCGCGTGCGGCATCCTCGCATTGTCCGCCGTGCTTAATTATGAAGCGGCTGGGGAGACGCTCATGTCGGCGGCCCTCCGAGACGCGCTACGCGACGGCTCCTGCGCCGCAGCTCTCAAAATGCTGACCACCGCGCGGAACTTCTTCAGCGCATTGAGCCCTTCGAAGCCGGGCACGTCGAGCGGTTGGTCCGCGACGCGCGGTCGCAGCAGCTCGGGGTAAGCTGCACCCGTGCACCGGCGTCGCGATTCCGTCACGCGAGGCAGCAGAGGGCTGGGGCTTCCCTTCTCGTGTCAGCACGAGTGTGACGTCGCAGCACAATGCCTCGCCGAGTGGTGTGGCCCCGTAACGGGTCGACGCCAGGGGCAGGCGCGAAATCACGTCGGTGTTGCAGCAGGTTGAGCCGGCACACAGCCGGGGCTTTGCGTAGCATTAGCCGCGGGAGCGGCCGCCACTGCCGAGCATTACAAGCTACTGCTCGACGAACCCGCCGCGATCCGCCGCGCTGGGAGCTGTCGCAGCCGTCAGGAACAGACTTGCGCGGGCAGAGGTGCCTGCCACCGTCGCTGTTGCGCTTTCCCTCGCCCCATGGTATAGTGTTCGCGGCATCGCGACCGGTGACGTACCCAGGCGGCTCGCGTCAAGGGTGCTGGCTCGCATGTTTGCTGACGAGCTCGACCGCGCCACGCCCCTACCAGTACGCCCTCGGAGCGTGCGCCGGAACGGATGCCTTGGCCGCTATCCTGCGCGCAGCTGTCGAGCTTGGATCCTCAAGCCGGTGCCTCGACTCTCTTCTGTTCGCTGATGCTGCTGAGGGCTTGCCCAGACAAGTTGCCGCTCGTGTACAGTTGGCCTTCCGCCATGGCGGCCTTGGGTTCCGCAGTGCTGTCCATCATGCACCTGCAGTTTTTTGGGTGTCCTGGGCTGACACTTTTCCGGAACTGGATGCTCCCTCTGCAGCCTTGACTCCCAGGTTGGGCCGTACGCTGCCCGTGTGTTCACTGATGTTCACTGCGCGGCCAGTGCGCGGCCCACCTCGCCTGAACTCACTCTGGAATCCCCGTTGTTCCTTGTGCTGGTTTTGCATGTTTTTGCGTCGGCTCCGTGCGCCGCTCCCGCTCACAACAGCTGGGTGCCGGCGCCGCAAGCCGCATGATGTTTTCGGTGTACAAAACGCCGTGAACCTCAACTCTGGGTGGTCTTACTGATGCTTGATGATACTTACGAGATTTAAGTCTTGTTGTGGTCGCTGCTGTTGATGTGTTTGTTTCGTGTACTCCTGCATGTTGGCATGAATCATGTACATAAAGGTTTCACTTCTGTTCTGATCGTGTCGAGGACTATGAGGATTCGTTTCTCGGAGATCACATTGCAGCTTGCCCCAAGTTTTGTGTTTTGCGCTCACGTGGAGGCCCATTGGAAGGAGCGGCTGCCAGAATTTGTCGGGAGGCTGGCGCATGCTGGCGCCACTATTGCGACATGTTGCGACGCATGTCCTCGTGCGAAATCTCAATGTTGCCCCTGTCCGCCTGCATGAACGACGCATCGAGGTCATTGCCAATGGCTTGCCTCTCTGGGGTGGCGTCCAACTGGCCGTCGACACTACACTCGTCTCGCCGCTCACGTGCAACGTCGTGAGGGAGGCCGCGCGGCCGGGGCAGCTTTGCATGTTTGCAAAACGCGCCAGGCCCGGACTTACCCAGAGCTTGCGTCCGGCCGCCGCTGCCGGCTCGTCGTGCTCGGCCTTGAGGTTGGCGGACGCTGGAGCCGCCAGGCCGCCCTGATTGTCAGGCTGCTTGCTCGATGCCGGCACAGCAAACGTTGATGGAGAATCGCCGCGAGTCAGCAAAGCAGCCCCCCCTTGCCAGTCGCCTGCCGTAGGTGTCTGAGGTTATTCGTCGCCGTGGGCTATTTTTCATTGGGACCGCAAATGGATGCAGGAAAAGTGGCGTGCAAAAAAAACAAAACGAATCATCCGAGTCAAGGAACCAAGCATGCTATAGTGGAAACATGCACAAGGGGTACGTACAGACACGCGCAAACAGCAGCACAGCCGGCAGCGGTTCGAATCTCATATTTCACGAGCATCAGTTGCAATGCAGATATCAGCGACAAGTTCAATGTTGCCCCGGCTGTCACGTGCAGTGTTGACGTCTTCATCTGTGGTAGAGAAGAGACAACGATCAGCGTTCAACAGGAGCAAAAACAACACAGACAAGATCATAAAAACTGAGGAACTTCGTTTGTTTTGCTGTTCTTGAGGCTGCTGGTAACACCGGTAAGGCGTCCTTCTAGAACTGGTCCCGGGCTCGCCTTTAACCGAAACCTTCTACGGCCTGTAGTCGGCACATGGTGGTGGTGACGCTGCAATTGGGCGGTGTGGAGATTCGTGGAACGGAGCTCGACGGCCAGTTTGTCCTCCCGGCTGACCTTGTCCTCGCGGCGGGTGGAGTTGTTCTGCGCAGGGAAGACCGCACCACAACCCCTTCGTCCAGCCCTTTGCGGCGGACTCCCTCAAGCTCACGCAGCCGTGTACGCGGCCCGCGACCCCGCCCCAGCCTACCATCAAGGAGCACCTCCCGCACTTCCCGCAGTCGCACACCACCGGGACGTGGTGACCTGCCTGAACGTCGGCCCCCCACACCGCCGCCGGCACGCGTCCGCCCACGCCCAGAGGCGCCCCGGCGTCGGCGCACACACCGTGGCTGCCGTGCCGGCCGCCAAGGGCGAGGTGGGCGTAGGGACGACAGATCGGCTACGCCGCCCCCCCGTGGATTCCCGCCTGAGCAAGGCCCCTCGCCTTTCCGCCCTGGACACGGCCCAGCTGGGCTGACGCCTTTTGGCAGGCAGCAGCCGGTGTCGCCTTTTGCTCCGTGGTGCCAGCGTCTTGAGCGGCCCTCACCATTCTTCACGCAGCCAGTGCCTCAGCTCCTCCCGCCTTGGTTCCACACTGCACCGCCCCTGCAGAGCACTCTTTTTGCGAGGCGCCGCTTCTGAGCCGTGAACGCGGACTTGGCCGCTGGCGCCCCTGTGGCAGCCGCGGCCGTCCGATCCTTCATTTTTTTTTTATTGCGGCCCGGCCCTTAGGTGGTTGGACTGGCCGGTTCTGCGAACGGCCACCGGCGCCTCCGAGGCCGCCGTGGCCCCGCCTCCTTACCAGTGAGTCCGGGCCCCAGCCTGTCCTTTGCGCTTGTTTGCTCTGCAGAGCTGCGTGATTCGCCCATTGCTGCTTGCCGCCCAGGTTTGCGCGCCCCGAGGGCAGCCGCCTGTTGCGTGCGCGTGCGAGAAAAGAAACCACAAACAATCAGCACAACACAAAAATCTCTTTCAACAATTTACACAACAGCAACACACGCGGCTGCTGCAATTCGTTGGACTTTTCGTTTTGTTTGCGTTTGCTTTGCTGAGGCCGCATCACGCAACGCCGTGTGCACGCTGCGACGATTCGCTTCCGGCCTCACGTGCCTTTAGGGTTTGGCCACGAGTCACAGGCCGCTCGCTGCCTCCTGCAGCCCAGGGCGTGTGCGCCTCCGTGGCGCCCCCCTGTCGGCGCATCTTCCGGCAAAGGCCATGTCCCGGCGCTCGCGTGCGGATTCCCCTTCGGGCGCGCGCTCTCCCCCTAGCGAGCCTTGTGCGGCCAGCCGTTCCAACGGCCCTGGGGATGCCACGCCAGTCGCGCCGGTTCATGTAGACCGGGTATGTTGCGTTTGCCTCGAGGACCTCGACCCCACCGTCCAATCTGGTGGCCTCACAGTGGTACCTTTCCCGACCTGTGCTGCACACTGTTTGCACCTGGTTTGTTTGGCCCAGTTCCGCAGCCAGGCTTCGGGTCCAGGGGACCTCCTTTGCCCATTGTGCCGCCATGGCCGTTGCCCCGGGTGCGATCCTCAGGGTTGGTCCGGGACCCATGACGCTGCGTTGCGGGACGCGTGCGCGGGGCACGGCATCGAACTCCCGCAACGTGCGTCTGGCGAGTCCACTGTGCGAGCCGCGCAGCCGGATTATGCACTCCGCACTTTCACGGCTCACGATGCCCCGGAACCGCCGCCCCCTCCGAGCGTGCGGCTTCTTTGTTGCCATCGTGTTGTCCCCACACGGTCGACGAGCGGCCAGCTCACGTTCCAACCTTTGCCCGACCGCGATATGGACTGGGCCCCAGTCGCCGTTCGCCATGACCACGGCATAGCTGCATGGCGGCCCGGCTGGTTGTGTCCTTCGTGCGGGCGTGCCCAAGACCTCCATGATCTGCAGGTGCCGGATGTTGCGGGCGAGCCGTGTGGTCTGTGCGAGGGGCGCGTGGAGTGGGTGTGTGACCTTGCGACCGGCACATCCCGGCTCCAGTGCCCAGAGGGTTGCGCGCAGCCCTCGCTGCACCCTCAACGGGCCGATCCGCCAGCGAGGGCCCTTCTCGCCGCAGGTACTTCCTGTGATCCCGCTGAAGCTGGCCTGCCACCGCCGCCGCTACGCCCGCCCCCTTGGTCTGCATCGGGCCCGCCGCGTGATTGCAGTGCCTCGGCCACCAATTCGTGGCTCTACGTGCCTCTCCTGCATGCGGCCGTCGGTGGCATGCCCGAGCCGACGTTGGAGGCCTGGCGTGAGGAGCCGAGAAGCGCACGTTGGTGGGAGGATGCCCGCCGCGCCCTCGCGACCTCCGCCCCAGTCCTCGTCGGCACTCTTTCGGAGGCGTTCATAACGGCGACCGCTGCTGCAGGCCAGCCGCTGCCCCAAGCCATGCTTCGGGAGGCCGCCGCTCTGCCCGCTAGTGCCTTGGTGCACTTGGGCTGGGTTGTGCGCCGACTGGCGGAGCCTGATGGGTATATCCCCGCAGCGTGCCAGGAGGTTTGCCTGCACTTGTATGGTGGCTCAGGCTTCGCTGCCGACCTCGACCGCGCTTCTGACGCCTTCCGGCTGGAGCCCGCGCCGTTGCATGCCGGACCCGTCGCTGGCGCTCGCCCCGAACCCACGCACGGTCACCGTGATGACGCTCCTTTAGGGGAGCCTCGCGCCGAGGCGCAACCCCCCGTCGAGGCCGCAGATGGCGAGTGCGCGCCTGCCGAGGACGCCCGGTCTGCCGCCCCTGATGCCGCTCTGGCTGCCGCTGCTTCCAGCGCGCGCCGGGCTGCTGGGCGAGCAGGGGGCCGCGGGAGGCGAGGACGCGGCCGCGGACGCACGGCGCCCGATCCGCCGCAGAGCCACGAATCTCCGGGCGTGGTCAGGGCCGCCGAGGAACCCCGTGCGGCCGTGCCTACGCGCACTGACCGCGCCGAAGCAGGCCTGCGGGCCGGCTTCAGGCAGCTAGAGGCCGTGGACCTCGCTTGGGAGCTCGGCGAACGCGTCGCTACGCTGCAGTCCGCGCCCCCTCAGCTGCGCGGCGTTTTGCGCATGGCCTTGCGCGCGGGTCTGGAACGCGCGTTGCGGCCCAGCAGTGCGGTCGAGGAGCTCTGTGGTTGGAAACTTTTCTTCCTGGCACCCCGCATGCTGCTGCACCGCGCATTTGGGGAAGTGCGGGTCGAGCCCCGGGAGCTGACCCAGCGCTGCACCCGCTTCCAGCAAGGAGACTGGGCAAGCCTGCTGGCTGCGGCGCGCGACGCTGGGACCCCCTCGAGCGCGCCCCAACACGCTCGCAACAGGGACGAGGCTGAAGCGCGCGCCGCGCGGTCCCTGCACCTGGTCCGACTCGGCGAGCTGTCGGCGGCCAGCCGCGCGCTCACAGCGGAGCCGCTCGCCCCAGGATCAGCGGAGACGCTGGCGGAGTTGCGTGACCCGGAACGCCGGCCCCCTGAGCGACAGGTCCCGCTGAGCCAGGCGGTCTTGGATCATGTCAATGCAGACCCGTGCCCGCTGCCCGCGGATTCCTTTTTGGCGTGCCTCAGAAATGCCCGCCGAGGCGCGGCTGCTGGCCCGTCCGGTACCACAAACGAGCACCTCCGCCTGCTCCTTGACGACCCTGCTGAGTGGGCGCTGCTTCGCGAAGCGGCAGAGCGCCTGGCCAATGCCAACATCCCCGCCCCGGTCCTTGAGGCAGTCCGCCTGGGCCGGATGGTGGCCCTACGCAAACCGAACGGACGGGTGCGTGCGCTGGTCGTTGGCGATGTTTTCCGGCGGTTGGTCGCGCGCGCCCTGGCGCAACAGTTTAGCGAGGCCTTCCAATCGGCATGCCTCCCGTTCCAGTATGGGCTTGGCATGCGGGCTGGGACGGAAGCGCTTTCAAAGGTGTTGCGGGTTGCCACGGAGCTGGACCCCAGGGCGACGGTCCTGTCCGTCGATGCTGTCGGGGCCAATGATCACGTCTCCCGCCAGGCCATGCTAGAGGGCCTACGCTCCCGGCCTGAGCTCGCTCCGCTCCTGCCCTTCGCCAGGCAATTTTATGGCTCTGAAAGTCGCTACATCTGGGTTGACGACGCGGGAAACAACCACATCATCACGCAGGGCGAGGGAGGCGAGCAGGGGGACCCGCTCATGCCGGCCCTGTATTCCCTCGCGCAGCACGGCGCGCTGGAGGCGTTCGCTCGTCAGATGCAGCCCGGAGAAGCCGTCCTGGCCTTCCTTGACGACACATATGTCGTTTCTAATCCGGAGCGCACCCGGCCGGCGCGCGACGCCCTGTCAGCTGCCCTGTGGCACCATGCCCGGGTGCGCTTAAACGAGGGCAAGACGCGAATCTGGAACGCAGCCGGGGAGGAGCCACCGGGCATCGCTGACCTGCAGCCTCCCGATGCAGATCCCCTTTGGACTGGCTCGTGGTCCTTGCCCAGGGAACGCCAGGGGATTGTAGTGCTTGGAGCTCCGCTTGGCAGTGATGAGTTTGTCCGCTGCCAACTGCAGGCCAAGCGTCAAGCCCACGACCGGTTGCTGGAATGCATCCCCGGCTTGGGTGACCTGCAAGCTGCGTGGCTGCTCCTACACTTCTGCGCTGCGACTCGGGCCAACTTCCTCCTGCGCATGTTGCCCCCCGTCTCTACGGCCGAGTTCGCCGAGGCCCATGACGCGGCAGTCACCCGCTGCCTCGGGCGACTCCTGTATGGCGACGAAGGCGCGCCCATCCCCCCCGCGGCCTGGCGTGTGCTGCATTTGCCCCTGCGCTTCGGCGGCCTGGGCCTGCGTTCCGCTGCTGAGGCTGCCCAGAGCGCCTGGTGGGCGTCTTGGTTCGACTCGCTGCCCGCCATCCGCGTCCGCGCTCCGGACGTCGCGGAGCGCCTCGTGCAAGGGCTTGAGGCGCAAGGTGGTAGCGAGCCACCTTCGCTTGTGTCAGCCCGCACTGCGGCAGCGCTCTTGCGCGGACGCGGCTTCGAGGTGCCGCCGTGGCACTCCTTCTCGCCCGTCCCCCCGGGCGATGGCGAACGTGACGACCCCTTGCGGGGGTGGCAAAGGCGTGCGGCCATGGTATGTGATGAGCGCGCGCTCGAGATGCACCTTTCAGACCTTGACACCGCATCTCGTGCGCTGCTGCTGTCGCAGGCCGGGCCGCATGCCGGGCGTGCCCTCACAGTAAGGCCGACTGCCACGGAGCTCCTCATCCCGCCGGCCCAGTTCCGGGTGCTGCTCCTACGCCGCCTGCGGCTCCCGCTGCAGCTGGCGCCGCGCACCTGCAGCTGCCACGGCCATTTGGATGCCTTGGGGGACCACCGGTCGGCGTGCGCCACCTCCGGTGTCCTGGCCCCTCGTGCATTGCCGCTTGAGCGCGCGGTTGCCCGTGTGTGCCGGGAAGCGGGAGGGCGGGTGTGCCACAACGTGCGCCTGGCAGATATGAATGTCGATGTGCCCATCGCGGACGCACGTCGCATTGAGGTTGTGGCCAACGGCTTGTCGCTGTGGAACGGAGCGCAGCTCGCCGTTGACGCCACCATCGTCAGCCCCGTCACCCGCAGGGGGGAGGCGCAGCCGGGCGCTGATGTTCGCCCCGGCCAGGCCGTCGACGCCGCGGCGCGCCGTAAGCGACAGCAGACGTACCCCGAGCTGGCGCGCGCCCGGCGCTGCCGCTTGGTGGTCGTCGGGGTCGAGGTAGGTGGCCGCTTTGGTGCCGAGGCCGCCCGCTTCCTCCGCCTTCTGGCCCGGCACCGGGCCGACGGTGTCCCCGCTGCACTCAGACCGGCGGCGCAAGCGGCGTGGGTCGCGCGCTGGGCTGGGTTCTTGGCGGTGGCGGCGCAGCGCGCGTATGCCAGCTCCCTTCTTGAGCTGCCGCTGGCCGGGGAGTGCTGCGTCGGCGGAACGACGCCAGACCTGCACGAAGTCCTGGCCGATGCACGCTGGCTGGCGCCCCCGCAACCCAGCCGCCTGCCGCTGCCCCAGCACTAGGCAGCCCCGGGGCGAGCGCCTCTTGTAGGGTCGACCCTCTGACCGTCGTCTGCAGTTGCAAAAAGGCGCGAGGAAAAAAAAAAAAAAAAAAAAAAAACGTAGTCGTCAGGGTAGGTGTCGCGCCGTTTCTGCTGCGTCGCAGCTCGGATGGCAGTGCCAGGGCGGGAGTCGGGAGTCGGCCCCTGGCCGCGCCTTTCCGGTCCGACTGAGAGGGGACACGAGCGTGGTGTTTACGGCGAGCTGGGCGCCATGCCACAATGTCACCATGAATACGGCCTGCGTCGTGGACCGCGGCAAGACCATGCATGGGGGGCTAGGGCAGCAAGAGTCGCAAGCGCCGCAATAGAGTACACGGAACTCACTCGGGATGGTCACCCCTCCATGCGCAGGCCGGACGGTGAGGGCGCGGGCAATGTGCGGGCCGGCCTGTCGCATCCGGAAGGTGCGCTGATCGCAGGCACGGGCAGCATGATGCTGCCAACCGTGCAAGCATTCGCCAGGTTGGTCGGGGGGCCATCAGGCTCACCTGGGGCAGACTGTCACATGTCGCACCCCTGGGTGTGGACGCCAGGATCGGCAAGCACCTGGACAAGGTTATCGGCTGCGATTGGTGACCTAGCACATCCTCGCCCGCACCGCTGGCGGGGGGCATGACGATCGATTACGGCGGAGCAGAGCCCCACGACAATGTTCCACGTTCATGGCACCCTCCAGAAATCAATAAGCCTTCCGAGCCAGGGTTACCACTCCCGCCCACAGTTGCAGTCTTGTGGTGGTTTATTGCCGGATACCTGTGGGGTGTTGCCAGGGGCGCAGGCGGCGCAACTGCAGTGGAGACGGTCAGTAGTGCGGCCTCTTCTGCAGCGCGATGCTTTGATGCTGTACCGTGCAGAGCTCACGGCTGTACCTTCCTTAAGACCCTTCCTTGAGTATCAGCCCCATCTTGTATGCGCGTCGCAAGTACATGGTGGGAGGCTTGCGCCCCATTGTCCGTGAGTGGACATTGGCTCGGTGCGGCCACCATCCATTTCCAGATGGGCGAAATGCGCGACATCGTGCTTCTGCTGATCCTCATGGCGCGCAGCAATCGTGTCTGTGTGGCAATCCAAGCTGGAGTTTCTTACATGGGCTACGACATTGCTCCCTCTTTGACACGCAACGTCAGACCTGGAGGCTTCATATGCGCAGGTGTGCTGCCGATGTTGCGCAGCTGTCAGACGAAGATTTCCTGCGTTTGATATTTATGCCATTGTATCCATTGAATACTCCGTCCTTGGTTGCAGCTCATGTACATTTCGTAGCTTCTGTGTGTCATATGCAGCGCTGGCGGCTTCAAGGTTGCTAAGCTGCTAGGCCTAAGGCTTCTCTGACGCTTGTCGCCATGAGTGCGATACGTCTGTTCGTTGCTTTTCACTACTGACCGAACGCGGTTGTTTGAGGTCCGAGTCTCTTGAATGGATGGTTGGAGGCGGCGGATCGCGCGATTGCAGTGCAGCTGCGACTACACCCACCCCAGCTTGCCCACTCACTTCTTCCGCTGGGCACGCCTGCAAGGGCTCTTTGCTGTTGCCATATGTTGCCATCACCTGTAAGACGCCTAATTGTGGAGATCGCCACCCCTGGACGGGGGCATAATCAGATCTGCACCCCCCAACAAATGTGTCAGGTTTGGCCGCAGTAGACTTGAACCCGCTGTGGCTACAGCAAACCAGATGGTGGCGTGCGCGGCAGCGACAACAAAAACAAACGTGTTCAGCCGCCTCGTGTCGCGTGCCCTTGCGAAGAGTTGAACAAAAAACTCGCCAGCTTATCAGTTTGCCTTGCAAGCGCGTGCGGGCACGGACGCGCTGGCGTCCCATGTCCGTGTGGCTCGGACCAGGGCCCCAACCAAGTGCTACGGCCACGTACGACCCAGGGCCGTGGTCCCCACGGCCTGCTGAACCGCGACCGAGATGATGCTCCACCAACGTATTGCCCAGCCGGATGCGGCCGCGCGGCGCACTGTTAGCGGCATTGCGCCGCAAAAGCAGGGAGCCTGGCCTCCATGACTGGCAAGGCGTCTGCCCAGTAAGCCGCCGGCACCGAGCGCGGGTGGGGCCCTGCCTCACCTCCCAAGCACTCCAACTGTGTGTGCCAGATGGCATCGTTGTGGCCTGCGGCATATACGATGTGACGACTCGTCCGACAGCAGCGCCTGAAAAATGGTCCGCGCTAGCACCCCTTTTAGGAAAATCATGCTTGGATCCTTCAAATGTCGCGTTTGCTACTCCATCTCAATCAGCTTCTTTTTCCTTCAGGACATAAGGCGGCACCGAGGGAGTTCCGATTTAACGTCAATTTCGGGAAAACAAGCATTTTGACAACAACCCATGTACATGTATATACATAGAGTACCTATCTGCATATAAGTCTGTGTACAAGGCGTACAGAAAAAATGTACAAGCGTATGCAGAAACGCACAACTCATCCCTTCATGGTGTTTTTTTGCACTGTGCTTGAGCCTAGGGGGGCGTAGCAACATTCAACACATGTGTTACATCTGACAGGCATGGTTTCGTGAGACCACAATTCGCGCACAACGGCCGTGCTTTGACGCAGCCAAGCAGGATTGCATGAGACAATTCACGATAGGTCACGTCCAGCACAAACGTAACTATAGCGGTTTGTTACCCCCAAGATTAAATGGGGGTCTCAGGCCGGAAGATTTATCCTGAGCCAGGGGTTTGAGTGTTTTTGTCATGGCCCGCTGGGAATTTTTCCAGCCCGCGCAGGGTTAGATGGGTCAGAGACGGAGGGTCATCGTTGTATGTTCTGTCTGACAACAAGGGTTTGTATTGAAGGTCGAGCCTGGGAATTTATCGGTTCCTGGTTTGTGCTGGGAGCATCAGTTCATGTTACCTTTCTTCTGCTGTTGTGTCCAAAGTGCTTCAATGCAATGCTACCTCTCACAAACAGGGGAGATCGAAACAAGAGTATGCCCTGGGGCGTGTTTTGGTTGAACACGGTCCGGGTGAAGTCCGGGTGGTCTGCGCTCAGGGTCAGGCCCAGGGAACTTATTCAGGGGCCGTTTTCTCAAACACCACCCCCCCTCTCCCCGACCTTACCTAGACTTATTCCAATCTGCTCACCTAAGCCCACAATGCCGAAACCCTCCACCTTTAAAGCTGTGAGCCTATACATGCCCATTCCTTGCCCTCTCATAATCCTAGCATTCCAAGTTTGACATTCTTGATGCCTGGGGTGTGGAGTCAGAAAAAGACAGGTCATTGGCAGGGGTCGGGCCCTGGGGTTTTATCCCATTCATGTGCTCTCCGACGTCTCTCCCATGATAGCGTGGATTTGAACCGAACATGTCCAAATGAGAAATGCCAACGGGTTCAGAAAAAACCAACATTACCCTCCGACCCTAGGGGATTTATCCGGATAAATCCTCGGCCTGACCCCGAGGGCAGCAACAAACCCCAATCGTAATTGTTATTGGGGGGCTACTTGGTTCACAAGGCAGAATGACAAGAGAAACAACCAACCCAAACACCCGCAAATTTCAAAACGCTAAAAAAGTGCATAAACACACCGTGCATGCCGCCAATTGTTGCTTAGACATGGGTTCCGGCCATGGCAAGCAGAGCTTCGACGTATGCAACCCTGTTGACGTCGGATGATTTCATGATGGTCACTTTGGCTAAGGGGCAATTGCATCGTGTGGATGGGGAACGATCCGACACGCGTGCTTCTGTATGCCTAGTTTGCCAAGGCTGTCCAGGCTTTGGCGGCATCGTTGAAAGCCGCCAAGGCTCAGCCAATGCCACTATTGGCACCTTGACTACAACGTGGCTGCAGCTGGCACAATTGCACGAACAAGGGTCCAGCGTGACGAAATTCGCGATGACATTGACATAGTATAGTTGTCGCAACACGCCTGGCCAGGTTTTACATACGGACCAGGTGTCCGCGGGCGTGCAGTCGCGATTGGCAGCAGATCCATCTTTACAGTTGCGCCGCTCTCATTACTTTCAGAGTTCGTGTGGCGCCTTAAGTGTGCAGCAGACCAAAACTTGAGGCGATGTGTGGATGTCATACCCAATCCGCACGTTACAGACGTGTCGCTCGGCTTCTTACTGTATTGCCACCACTTCTGAGTCTGTGTACAAAATGTTCGAGAAGACGCTGTTCCGAGGTCGGGGTGGGTCAATTCTGGATTCACGAAACTTCGACTCTGGGAGCAAGTGGATTTCGACGCTTGAGCGCATGTCTGCCGCGCTCGAGGTGTTATGTGCCGATCGCTACGTGTCGTTGAAGTGGTGCACAGACATGGTTGATTTTGGATTGGTTCAAGTTCCATTGTTATGCATGAACACACACATTTCACAGCACAAGGAGAAAATCGTCTACATTGATGCTGACTGCTTGGTTCTGGCTATCCCGACATGGTTGCGGCATTGTGCTGTCATGCATCAGTCACTGGCCCCCCCCCCCCCCCCCCCCCCCCCAGTCAGGAGAACATCGACGAGCTTTTTCAGCGAGAATGTCCAGCCTTTTGCCCTGTGCCTTGGCCTAATATGCCAAATCCATGTCCATGCATTAGTGGGTGCATGGGCCTTTTTGTTGGCATGGGTCTGTTGGACCGGACTTCATGTGTCCGGACTATATATAAAGTACCCCCGAATTGTTATACATCGCGAGACGCCATCGCTCAAGTCAAAGTCGCAGCAATAGCCGCCCACAGCGGTTATAATTCGCCCGGAACCGCTCGGAACCGTTCCGAGCGATTTATAAACGTCGGGTTCATATATAGTCCAAAACGGCTCCGAGCGGTTCCGGACTGGAGCGATTTCAAATCATCTGTTCAAAAACATATATACAGTTCTGAGGACTTTTACATATAGTTCAAGAATTTTTATTTATAGTTCCTGACCATGTGGGTGGCCCAACACTTAAAGAGGCCTACGCACCTACCAATCCATGCATGATGCTTTTGTGCTGCACAACCTTCAGAAAAGGCTGACACAGTTTGTAGCAACAAGCGTGATGGTGCAGTCGGACTGCAACGCGAGGATGTCTTCCCACCGGACAAATTCAATGCGGGCGTGATCGTGCTGGAACCGAGCCGCGATGTTTTCGAGGTACGACACCGTTTCTTGTCATTCTTGTTTGTTGAAACGGCAAGCTGTGCAGCGGACAAACAGCCGTGTTGTCGTTGTTGAACCTGCTATGCACCCTTTTTGTGCTCGTTGACACTATGAACGACACACGCAATCCACCTGCATCACACAAGCTTTTCCCAGAACCGATGCAGGCTTCAAGGCACGCAGGCTCAGAAGGAAAGTGAAGGAACGCACGGGCCGACAGTCGGCCCCATACACAAAGCACCGACACCGCGCTTTTTGGCCTGCCCACATTGGTGAACAAACGGCACCTTTACCAGCAGCCTATGAAGCCACGCAGCACAGGCACTAGTGGCCGGATCAGACAAAGCAAGAATGACAAGGCAAATACGGTGGTTTAGTGGCATCGCAAGAAGGAGAATCCCCAAATCAACAAAGCCAAACGTTGGCAGGAAATGAAGGACAAGATTGCCGTGCTGCCATCCCATGATGGAGGCCAGCCTGCCTTTTGCAAAAGTGTTGCTACGCGTGTGCCCAGCTGCGCACTTTCCATCATGCAGGGCTGGCACATGCAAAGGTGTTGTTTGATAGAACTGCACGCAACAACGATGATCGTTCAATGTCCTAGGCTACGGCAGGAGCTACTGGAGAGTGAGGCTTGCTGGCAATGTTACCCGTGGCCCGAACAGGTGATACCGGGTTCTTGAACGCTTTCTTCCCCGACTGGTACCGGTGGCCCCATGAGCAGCGGCTCCCTTTCCAGTACAATGCCCTGCGGACGATGTATTGGCGACTTGCTGGCAAGTCAAGCAGATCCAGGTGCTTTCTGGCGCCGGTTGATCCATACGACGAATGGTTGGAGTCAGCAACAGGGACTTGCTTGTTCGGTGTTTGAACCACAGGTAAAACACAAAACCACCAACCACCAAAATAGTGGTTGGTAAGCCTAAACCCTAAACATACCCTCAGTTTGCGAGGGTATGAAACGGTGGCACTCTACCCGCAACATGTGCAAGGTCTGGAATGGTCAGGGCTACCATTCCAGACCCTAGCCCCAGGACCACTTCAGACCCTTGGTACGCGCAACCTATCCCGCAGTCCTGCATGCAAAGGTCTGGAATGGTCAGGGTCCCTAGGGTCTGAAATGGTGCGGGGATGTCCGTGTGACGGCCCCAACGCGGACCCATGCAGACCCCGATTTAGGGTCTACAATGGTGAGTTGAGGGTTTGGCCCTGCACCCTGAGAAAAATCCCTAAACCCTAAACCCTAAACCCGGTGTTTTGCTTCTTCTTTTTGTGAGCCGACGGTGCTCGTAGGTTCACGCGCGCCAATCCTGGATACTGGGAGTCCATCCAGCCGGTCAAGGCCAGGGACCGAAGACCTAGTGGACTATAATATGAGGGGTTTAGGGTTTAGGGTTTAGGGTTTAGGGTTTAGGGTTTAGGGTTTAGGGTTCAGGGTTCAGGGTTCAGGGTTCAGGGTTTAGGGTTTAAGGGGGGTCGGAATTCCTTCGAATGTTATTCCCTTAGGGTCCCTTTATAGTTATGCGGTCTAGCCCCCCAAAACCAAGCCCCAAAAGTAGGTCGGTTTTTTGGGTATTTTAAGTTTATCTTTGTTGGGTTTATAAGGGAACCCGAAACCCTAAGCTCTTTTTCTTTTAACGCCGGTGTACAG